TAAACAGATGCTTCAGTCCATGTAAGGTTTATTAGTGTTGTTTAGAGAGATTGACATTTGAGTAGAATTTTCTGAAATATAGTTTACGTTTTTATCCTTAGGTTTGAAATGGAGAATATGTCACGTCTTATTTTTCTTAATGAATTTTCTAGGGAGAACCTATCATTTATCAACAACAGCCCTGGCTTTTACTTTCCGTGTCAAAACAAACTGATTCTCCGAAGACTACAACGGTTTTAGATAAGCAGGATAATTCCTCTTCATCTTCTCCACGTATTATTACCATTAAAAGGTCAGATAATTCCTAGCTTTTGAACGATTGACTGCCTGCAAGTGATCCAGTAAACGGTTAATATGTTAATATGTATCGTACATATGTGATTGGTTTATTTTCACTGCTTTCATGCGTTTGTGTATCAAGACATACCGATAACTTTCAAATAATCAGAATAACAGTAAGCAATGCAAACAATGAAGTATTCAGGAGATAAAACTGAAAATATTTTCCTTATTTTGAATGTATCTTATTTTAAGAAACAGGATTTAATTGTATACCTATAGTTTTGTGATAACAAGGATTTACAAGAATTTGGAATGGATACTTTTTGAGTTCTATAATCTACTTTTCTTTTTTCCATTAATAGTTTATTAAAACTGCTATTGTTGCGTGATTCTCTCCTCATTATTTGAGCATAAAAAATTTAACGAAGATTTTAGCTACTTATACCTTGGAAATTCAACAATATCGCTTGTTATTCAGTCACTGTGAATATGATCCCTGACTTTACTGCGGTCCAAGTTGCAACAACTTGCACCATCAAGATAGTAGGCACATGGAAGATAGATATGGAAGTGAGGAAGGTATCAGCAAAAAGTAACAGACAATGGTAGAAAGAACGAAGCAATGGTAACGATTGTGATGAAGATAATGTGCGGATGTATCTGTATCAATATCATCAGTTCTGAGACATGTCACCTATAGTCCACAGAAATCGATTTCGGTTGTCATGTGGACACCAACTGCAGTCTTCATTTCCCTACACAACTCAGATCAACAGTCAGAGACTTCATGGATTGATACCATGTGTCAGTTTGGGTGCCTCTAACCTCTATCTAATTCGAAACCATTTCAACCAGTTATGCGATGTGGTAGACAGTGACTAGTCGTGCGTAACATGTCCCAGTAATCTAAGTCAAGAGTTTGCAATCCCATCAACTGTCTTACTTCCCAACTGACAGCTGCTACCTTGATGTGGTGGCCGAGGTTGCATATCACGATGATACCCACTAAGCGCTTCTTCCTGTCATGCCATATAAATGTGTTAGAAAAGCAGTTACCGTTGTAGTGCGAATAGATTGGGAGTGATGGGGTTCCGAGGGTGAAGTCTTACTGATGGGTGGATGAGGTATGACAGCAGTAAGGCGTTCCCCTTGGACGACCAGGAGTACCATGCTGATACCACCCTTCCGTATATGTGTAGGTGGTGGGTCGGTAAAGCTCGACCTCCGAAATAGCACATTCCCATGTATCCCAGAGTATTCCGTTGCCGATGATATGTGCTTTTCTACTCCGTTGTTAGCACAATGAAATCTCAATCGAGCGTCGAAATATGGATGTGTGAGACAAGGAAAGATCCCTTGGGTTCAAGCAGAACGAGAGACACTGTCCACCAACATGAAACTAACGGTGGACACATATTGATCATATTACTGTGTGTCGTAGTTGGAGAGGTTCGGTGGAGAATCGCCACCGTTTCTAGAATACGTGCTGGGACTGCAATGACTTGTCAGTGCTTGGATATGTGTGTTGTCGCCCCACTGATCACAGTAAACAGGTGGCAGCTAATTTTATTTTAGTCTGTTTACTATTGTGTCACGCAGTGAAACAGTATTATTTAGATTATTTATTGTGGATATTCATATGAGGTGTTGGTTAAGTTTTTGTACTGGGAATTGGGAGACGAGAATGTGAATTACATATTTTGGTGTAAGTTAGCGAAGGATTTATCTGAACGTGACAGCTAACGTCATTGTGAGGAGGCGTAAAGTGAATTTCAGTGTGTTGTAGAAACAGCGGTGAAGGCAATGCAGTTAGTAACCTCTATGCAAAGGTTAACGAAAGTCAGTGAATTTACTCTATTTCATTCGAAGTAGTTGATGTGAGAATAATCATTGGATCTTAGTCTGAAGATGATGATGAGCGAAGGCGAGTTGAACGTCAACAGACTGAGAGTCTTTGGAATGATCGTGAGTAGTGATGCTGATGGATAGCGAAGTTTGGGTGATGGTGTAAGTGGTGGTGGTTGTGGTTGTGGTTGTGGTTGTGGTTGTGGTTGTGGTTGTGGTGGAGTGTTGACGGCGTCAGAATTCCGTTATGCGCGAGGATTATTGAGGCCTATTGAGATTAGTGGGAAGGAGAAGACGTGAGTCAGTGAAATGGGTGGGATGATAATGACCTCTAAGGCTGGTGTTTGGAAGGTTGGAGGTAACACTTCTTCGCACAGTGCAACATCCTTCCCTTGCTCAGTATTCTACCTGAACGTAAATCGCTCATAAATGTTTGTCCTCCATCTCTCCTTGGAGATGAGAAGAATGTTGTGAATGGGCAACTATGCAATACAGAAGGAATGATTGTCTCCAAAGTATTTCAGTTATGGGAGTACGAAGTTGCGAAATAGATTGACTGACATACTAACTAGTACTTAGAAAACTGAAATTGTTTGCTTTGGTTGGTATGGACTGTAATTTATCACAGTCCATAAAAAATCAGATAGGTCTCCGTGTTATATCCAAGTCGGTAACATTCGGACTAATACCCTAGATCCTATAGTTGCATGATGCCAAACCGGACTCAATAACAACCTCGAGGGGATCAGGCAGTTTTTAGACCTCGATGAACACGTATTAGTCAGATCTTAATCCTTTAACAGTTTTCTTATTATGTAAACGGTTCCCAGACCCTGACAGCTGTCATACTTTTTACCTGTTTGAATAACACCACTGCAGACAACTGCTCTCTTTTTATCTGAAATCCATTCTTGGCAGAGATAGGTGGTTGTTTTAGCGCAGCTGAAGCAACCGTCACCGTCCTCTGTTCGACCGGCTGGAATTTGGTTAGTACCACCTATTGGGCATTTTCTCGTGACTTCGCCATCATACTTGTTCGTTTAAGCTGCTAGTCATCAAATTTCCAGGATTTTTAAGAGGGAATTTTGAGCTTTCATAATATTGGCAAGTTTGGGTAAAGTGAATAACTACACTACTGTATATATGTCTCAGGAACACAGCATACATCCTCGGCTCGAAATGTCAGAGCTTAGAGAAGAGACATCAGATCTGCCATTGGCGATTGGATATGTCCCAGGTTCATCGAGGTTTTTCTGCCACATACATGCACTCCTCAGCGTATGTGCTTTGAAAGCAGACGTCTGTTGTCCGATTTAACACAGGGTTTGGGTGTTAAAAGCTCCAAAGTGAAATTGGCAGCGTAGTTGTAGGAGATTAGGAATGGTATTTCTCCCTGGGTTAAACTGTTGAGGATGGTGACAGGGTGAGAAGTTGAGTAAGGTGTATGAGGCGTAATGTTGATGCTAGAAGTGAAGACAAGAAAAGAGACGAAGGTAGGTTACGATTACGTACAAAATGTACCAAATGTAGAAAATGAAATAATTTTCAATTTACGGGTTTATAATAAAAGTATTTATTCAGTCTCCGTACAATGCCCTGCGTCTTAAGAAGTTCAGAGGAGCTGAGATAAACAGGTAAGACATAATAAGACCAATGGAAGGAAGTAAATGTATAATAGTACAGTACATAGACTTAGTAGCTACTGTGAAATTTATGCGTAGAATTTTCTCAAAAGGTGTAAAGCATATGTGTAGTAAAAAAGGCACTAACCAAAAATATGTGCAAACAAAACTTACATATATAATTATTTGATGTCCGTTTTGGAAATGAACCACTAAAAACAACAGGACAATAATTATAATAACTTTCCTGATCGTAGTTATGTGAGTATGTACACCTATTCTCAACGAGCAAAGAATATAAACGTAAGTTATTTGACGTCCACCCTGCTTACTATAGGAGAGAATAGGGAGAATCTTTATGGTAAACGGAAGTAGCAATGATGCACTGTCAAACGAAGCTTCCGTGTGAAGTGGTTCTGGGGTTACTTCAGCTTCGCTGCCTAAAAAGGTTGTTTTGACGTGGTCCAGTGATATTGTTTCCATGTATGTTTATAGTGAAGTATTTATTAGCACTTCTCAGTACGGGGAATGGTTCCTCATTTGTTGGTTGCAAACTTTTTTAAAACCGTCAACTCGAACAAACTTACAGAACATCACTTGTTTGCTTAGCTGTTCTGTAAGTGTGCTTGTTTGGGATAGTGTAGGCTGCCATTGTGACATGTGTTGTGTTAATTGGTCGGCAAATATAGAAACATC